TTCTTAAAAAGGATATAATCATCGTTTTCATCCTCCATTGAGAAGATATTAGCTTTCATACCAGCAAAATTTGCATATCGAAAGCAATTTGAAATGCACTCTATAGACAGAAGATTAAACGCTTTATCTATGTAAAATGTTACAGTTGACAGTTGACAGTTGAAAGCAGAATCTGGACACACGTGCGGCTTACTTAGACTATTCAGGTCTAGTCCAGGTTCCGCAACACCTCATGTATCCGGGGCAACACCTCATGGGCCCTATAAGGGCATACATTGATCCTGTATACAGGCTTACATAATTCATAATATATAATTACATAGTTCATAATATATGCTTACATAGTGACATAGTTCATAGTACATGTTTATATACAAGTAGTTCATAATATATATTGATCTTTGATAATACGTGCTTACATAGTTCATACATATACATGCTTACATAGTTTATAGTTGCTTACATAGTTCATACTTGCTTACATAGTTCATAATATATTGAGCCTGTTACATAATACATACATAGTTCATAATAGTTTTCATTGGCCATAATACATACATATTTCATAATATGTATACAGTGGGCCGTAATACAGACATGTTTCATAATATATACAGTAAAAAAAAAGAGAGAGAGAAGAGAGATTGACTGGAAACTATTCCACACTGCACAAATATGTTCCAAATCCTCCAGTTTCTGCATTATCTTGCATATTTTGATGCGAAATGCTGGCTGTTTGATCAGATAACGCTTATGAGAAATTGCCTGTTCCGGAAGCTTCACATGACACTGTGCGGTTAGAGGGCGTCGGATCAAGTAATGGTCTGGTTTACCAATGCCTCCACAAACACAACTTTCGGTATTTGCAATTTCTCGCTCATAGTAATAGGAGGGGAAAGGCCGTGCCCCGTCACAAATCTCGTTATTTGTGGAGATGACTCGAGACGATCGAGCGAAACTTTATGGTAATATTTATTGGTCTTCCTGCTTTGTTCGGTAGTGTCCCATTCCCATTGCCACTGATGCTGAGCTGCTGTCCTTGTCACGTTTTTTAAGGTGAGACCACGGGAATTTGGAAATAACACTTTGTGCATCGATATTGTGAGCTGCTTCTTTTACTAGCCTGTCGGCTTCCTCATTACCTTGAATGCCGACATGGGCCTTTATCCAAGATATGAGGATATTCATTGTCGGCGAACGCTCTTTCAGCATGTCCTGAATCTCCGCTATGATAGGAGAAGGATGTCTGGGATTTCGTAAGGCATATATGACCGAGAGACTGTCTGTAAGAATATTAATAGTGGATCCTACTGGGGGGCTTGTTAACTCGATAGCTTTGCGAATCGCAATTGCTTCAGCCTGGAACCTGAATTATAGTGTCCCATATGACCTTTCCATGTTATCAGCGTTTTCTTGTTCTTAGTTACTATAAGGCCACAGCCTTTTTGTCCGTCAACTTTTGAACCATCTGTAAAAACATAATATTGATCCTTTATGTCAGAGTCATCTTTCCATGATGTGTGGGCCGAGACTTCTTTTTCGTAGTTAGACGAATGGATGACATTTACTGGCCTTATTTCTTCATGGGGGCTGTGCTGAGAGGTGTGTATGATATAACCCCTTTTCCATGGTGTGAAGGATGGGTTGCATTTATGAGATGTTTTGTTTCATACTCCTCTGGATTATAGCATAGCGGTCCAAAAGTAGTGCAGAGATGTAACTGGAGAACAGTCGTTACTTCTTCTTCTTGTGCTGCTCTAATATGTAAGGGCAAAAGTCCCGCCAGTAGACTGGCTGCCGCTGTCGCTGTTGTACGGTATCCTTTTGTAATAGCCAAAGCAAAGGGGCGTTGTATACTAATGAGCAATTTCCTTTTCCTTTCGTTCATTGGAGTTACCCAGATTGCCGCTCCATAGAGTGCCATTTTTTCCACGACGGACTGATAGAGGATTTTTAGGACATGTGGTCTAAGGCCCCAGTCTGAACCTTGAATGCCCCTTAAAGTATTTGCAATTGCGTGTGTCCTCGCGCGGACTGCTCTGAGCTGAGGCAGCCAGGAGAGCTTTTCATCGATTATAAGCCCCAGCAGTTTTGGTTCCCGAGTTCGTCTGATTGTACGACCCTTTAGTTTCAAAACTGGATTTCTTGCAAGAGTTTGACCTGGATGTGTACGATCAAATACTTTGAGTTTTGCTCCGAGATGGTGAGTTTATTGCCTTCACAGAGTCATACAAATTGTGCTATGGTCTCATTACTGTTACTTTCCAGCTGGTCTCTCGATTTGCCTCTGATGATAAATGTCGCGTCATCAGCAAAAGCAATCACCTTTGTGTGGGTTGGCCACAGTGCTTTGAGAATGGAATTAAAAGTTGCATTCCATAGGTCAGGACGCGCACATGAACCCTGAGGGCAGCCCCTGGTCTGCTTTCTCTCAACAACTCCTCGTGCACTGTTACAAGAGTGTGATCAGAGAGATAACTTTTGCACACCTGCAGCAGATAATCAGGTATCTGAGCGTCGTGAAGTGCCTCCAGGATTGCTGGCCACCACAGGGAATCGAACGAACGTTTCAGATCCAGACTGAGTACGGCTACATGGTTGTTAGAGTCATACGCGTCATAGATTCCTTTTTGTATGGCGCTAAGAGCTTGGATAGTTGAGCGCTGCTCTCGAAAACCATACTGACAGTCCGTGATCTCACCCTTAATCTCCAAGTAGTGCTTTATTCTCTGAACTAAAAGTTTCTCATAAATTTTTTCCTATGGCGGGCAGGAGACAGATGGGCCGGAAATGAGGCCGGATCGTTGGGGTCCTTTTCTTTCTTTTGGAAGAGAATAACTTGCCCTGTCTTAAAGGGCTTGGGAAAACAACGCAGTTGTAGCAATTTATTGTAAAATTTTTTAAGAAACGTTGGTTTTGCCTGATGCATCGCCTTGACAATGTTGTAGTCCAACGAATCGGGTCCTGGGGCTTTGTTCCTCGGTAGATTTCGCAAAACAACACAGACTTCAAGCTGCGTGAATGACACGTCATCTTCTGTTGTGGAGTGTAGAAGATAAGCTGGATGTTCTGGATTGGAAGCGTCCAATCTATTGTCGTCTTGAAAGACTGCATCAAGAATCTTGGTGAGTGTTGCCGCAATAGTGCTCCTGTGCTCCTGTGTCGGTTGCGCATTATTGGTGCCGTCTACGTAGAACCTTGTGAATTGGAGGGGCAAAGACCTTATTCGTTGCGATTTTATGCAATACCCCATAGGGATTTTTATTGTTTGTGCAAAACGCCCTCCAGCTGTACAGCTTGGCTTTCTAGAATGGCCTTTTTATACTGGGGTTGTGTGCTTTTTTGTAGATAATACTTAGTTCTTCTCGGCGTTCTGAATTATGCTCCGACATCATCTTTCTGCGAAGTGCTCGGTACTCCTTTGTATCCTGAGACTTTTAGTCCACCAGTTGGCAACATAGTGTACCTTTGGAGATTTAATCTGGAAAGTCGAGTCACAAATGGCCTGAAGCTCTTTAATTAAGATACTAGTGAAGCTATCAACGTCATCTGTATTGTGGCAGTGTTCTAAATCTTGTTCTGCACGTGTGAGTGTACTGCAGGCATTTTGGTTGAAGAGCTTTAGCATCTTTCGCTTGCGTTTGTACCTCTTAATTGAGAATTTTTTATTATGGTGTCCTATGCTGTACGTAAAGTATTTATGGTCCGAGTTATACGGGGCATCATCAACCATCCAGGAATGCAATTTTGATGCAAAGGCCGCTGTTGTTAAAGTTAAATCTGGCCAACCCTGTCCGTGAATTATTTCATATGTGGGTTTTTTGCCTGGAACATTATGCAGGACGAGATCGTTACAGGAAATGAAGTCCTCTACCTATCGTCCTCGAGGGTCAGTATCTGAGTAACCCCTCAGTTCCGAGTGGGCGTTGAAATCGCCCGCTAGTTGATGGTGTGTATTTGGATACGCTTTCAGGATTGTAAAATGTTACAGGAAAGCAGAACTCATTTTTGTAACCAGTCGCCATATACAAAGGTTTAGGTTTCATCTATTGATCCTTAGCATTCACATTTTTGGCCGTAACGTTTTCACATAAATGCATATCTCTGCTAAAACCTAAAAAACTCTTACTCAAAAAACTAGATTTTACTTTTCCAAATATTTTCTATTTTGGAGAACACAGCAGGATATTAATCGACTCGTTATGCAAAATTGGAATTTATTCCATACATTTCATTTTTAAGAGGCTTGTAATCTTCAGATTTAAATCGAGATTAGCCGAGTTGTAAATACGCACTCATTCATGTATCTTTTAAATATGAAAAAAAATAATAACAATAAATTACGCAAAGAATATCAGGTTTTATTATACTGAAAGAAAAAAAATTAAACTTTTAAAATATTTCCCAAATGCTCACTGTGTCAATCTTTCTGGCATTGTAAGCATGCATGCGATTGAAAATTTAGTGCCAACAAACAACAGTATATCATAAACTATTATAGCCATAATATTCGTTTGTGAAACTCCTGAGAATCAGCAAAATGTGGAGGCACAAAGGCAGTATCCTAGATAAATCCTACTAAGTCATATAAGATTAAATTTAGGATGACCACTGAACTAACATTTCTCCTTCTTGTCCTTTGCGTCCTAACCACTTTCGCTTTGATTGCGATACTATCTTAAATGGAATCGGTATTCGCATCAGATTTTCATTCATAATGTAATTTCCCTCTGCTTCCAGCATGTCTTTGTAGTGTAACGGTAGCGCACTTGAGGCGTATTCAAGAGGTCCAGGATCGAATCCTGGAAAAGGTGCTGCACATTTTTCACAATTCCTGCTTCCAAAATAGCCTAACAATTCTACAGACGTATACTTTACCAACTGATTTTCATTCTGTTCTTTCTGGTAGTTAGTTGGGTAACTATCTTATTGAAAAAGGTAACCACTATTTTTCGCTAGATTGTGTCACGTAAATCTGCCCATGTAATACCCATTCAACGATGGATAGACTTTGCCGTGCTTGCAAAGGTAAGTAAATCGAACGTTTGTGTAATACGTAAATTTGCGAACTGAATTTACCTGTAAGCGCATGTAATAAAATTAATATTCGTTGAAGAGATTGTGCTTGCTGTGACTTTTAATATTTAACGGACTTGTCTTATTTGTCTTCGTTTCCTGTTACACGGTATTTTGATGATATTGTTTTATTTTCTCCAAAATAATTTCTAAAGCTACATCATATTCTGTTATAAATGTTAAAGAAAAGAAAGATGATAATATTTTCAGTTATAGCATTAAATAAATTTATCGATTAAAATAAATGAAAGGAATCCAAGAAATTATTTTTTCTCTAATCACTGGTGTCCCACCAGCCCAAATGTTTGAACCCTGGTGCTTATTATATTACATAGTACAAATGTATTTATCATCTCCGTGAACTTGACATAGATGGTCTTTCTGCAAAATTTAAAACCGTTATTTTTAACTTAGCTTACATATTTAATGAAAGTGAATTGACTTAACTGATTAAATACTCATTTTAATAGCTCATAAATCTTTGTTTTATTTTTAATATTGTGTGTAATTGACATAATATTCTGTATAATTGACTTCATCTAATATTTGTTTAATTTATAAGTTATTTACCTGAACATTTTATTAAACATTTACAGTATTATTATGTTTCATATAAGTTATGTACATTAGATACAAAATATTTTTTTTTTTTTAGAAATTCACTAATGGTTAAATATGTCCCAAATGTATGTAAAGTGGCAAAATTTCTCCTACTCTATTAATTCGAATTAATGCTGAAGTTAAAATGACATTGTCTCTCTAGTTTTAAGTTCAAACAAAGCAAATTCAAGCTTCTACCTGACTATTCTTAACATTATTTCGGGAATTCAAGTAGGAACTATATTCCGCAAGGATCTCACTCACTCAGAAATGGTAAAAAACTTCATATTTTACACGATTTATTCTGCGCATTCTACATGTGTTCACTGGAGTTGTCAGCTCTAGGCTACATTTAGGACTTTTATTACATATTTACAGAGACCGATATTTGTGTAAAATAAAGATTTCCAGCAAGGAAAGCAATAATCTTAAGATTCTTGTGCTTATTGTGAAAATGATCGCTGTGCAAGTAAACGTACGGGCATAAAGCAGATTGTGATTACTTTTTAGGCTTTAAAAAGGGATAAATCATAACTGTAAGTTCCTTTAGTGTTGAGTAATTAATGTAGCACAATAAAAGTAAATTAAGCTGTATTTTATTTTAATATTTTAACCTTATAACATAATCTTAGAATGCACATGAATCTCCTTTACATATCCCTACCCCAGCTAAAAATGTTTCCTCGTTATTTGAAAAACTTCTTGAAAAATGATTTGAATTTTTACATGAACGAAACTAATTCATTGTTTGCACACAATAATTCGTTAACAAAGCAAACATTAAACAAGACTTCTAAAAATAAAACATTCATATCTGAGCATCGCAAGCAAACAAATCAATAGAAAATCACAAAAAACATGTCTTGCCTTGAAACAAATGGTTATTTCAGAAACGAGCTTTCACAGAAGTGTAATGTATGGATTGGTTAAATGGCTTTTAGGAATTGTAGAGTAAAAAGAAAAAAAAAAAAAAAAAAAAAAAAAAAAAAAAAAAAAAAAAAAAAAAAAACGAAAATACATTTTTCTTTGTCGTTCATTGATTCTGTTTCGCCTTTAAAGCTATTTTAAGCTTTAAATACTTCACATTTAAAAGTTACAGTCCAAACTAAGTATTGCTTTTAGTGAAAAAAAAATTGCCGAATTTTGTATTGGTTTTTAAAAGATATGGGACTTCTAGGAAGAAAGAAGTACATACTTTTTTCATTTATGCTATCTGTTACTCAAAAGGGAAACGGTCTTAGGTACATTTTAAGGAACTTTAGAAAACATTATTAAGTTGTAATTTAAAGTAAAGTTTAATTCTGTATAATACTTCCTTTCATTACTTCTGTGCTTATAAATTAGTTTAAATTGCATTTATGTTTTTTATTAATCTTGTATAAGAAGCCAATTGATTTAATATTCACTCATGAATAGGATATGAGCTTATATCATGCTGTACTGAAAATACCTTCATCTGCAAAATGCGTCTTCAAGTTCAGCTTAACACTTCTATTAGTTGCATGCAGTTTATAATTTGATCTGCTTTTCATTTTGTATGAGATTAAACGCTGGTCTAGTTGATAAAATTATAATGCATCGCAACTGGTTCTGCTCCTAAATGATTAGTGGCGATCAGTTAGATTTCTTCAAACCCCTTAGCAGCTACTAATGTTATTCGCGTGTAACATTCTGCATAACCATTTGATATTCTTCTATTGGAATAAATATAAAGGCACGATAACTAAATAATTACATCGTGAATAAAAATAAAACATCATAGTACTTACACACTATCTCCCAATAAGTATTTGGACATTTGTGATAAAAAATATTCATATTCAATAGTTGGTAGACCCCCCACAAGAAGCAATTACAGCCTCAGTCCTCCAGGGCATGCTTTCTACAAGTTCTTGTATGACTACTCTTGGTATTTCTTCCATTTGTCTCGAAGAAGGCAAGTAAATTTCTTCACCGATGTTGGACAACTTTTGCACCCCATTTTGCATTTAATTCGGCGATTTATCTTGTCCTAGAAGTTCTCGATAAGGTTCAAGTCTGTGGGCAGTCCAGTCCATTCGATTAACCTCATTGTCACCATAATCAACCCATGGAGGACCTCGCGACAAGACAGTCGACCTGAAAGTAAATAGATCCAACCTTTAAAACTGATACCATGTAAGAAGCACATTGTCATCCAAATACCCGACAATTACACCTTCCTCGAAATCCGGTAACTCTGCACTTCCTAGTATCTTGCATGCCACTAATATCAATGTCGTTTTGTGCACATTTAACGGTGGATGGCGTTACGTATATCATGACCGGAAATATCGGTATTTGCAATGGGTGTCCAAATATTTATTCGCACGAAGTGTATTCGTATTTTGTTTTTAATGTTTTTCGGTATCTTGAAATAATATAGTGATCTCTCTCTCTTTTTCAGTAAGGCCAACAGATGTAAGAATAACAAGTCCTTATCAATCTTTATCAGCCGGAAAGGATACAGACATTGTCTGTGTTGCTAGAGGAGGCCGACCACCTGCTCAAATTTCTTGGTGGTTAGATGGAGAAAAGTTAACAACAAGAATCACAGAAAGCACGGCGGACGAGGACAATCTAACTATCAGTAGTCTGAGTATAAGACCTAGTATACAAGATAATTTAAGGAACTTGTCCTGTAGAGGAGATAATCCACAGCTGACTGACAGTGTTCTAGAGGATACATGGTTGATCAATGTTCACTGTAAGTCACCTTTCGTGTTTTTTTAACATTTGTCCTAAAGCTATTCATGTTTGTATATTTTCTAACTTTGAATTCGTCCATAACCAAACTAGATATATTCAATTTAGGGATTCCATGACAGTTGAAGTAAACCATTTTTAGTAGAAGTAATAGTATTTATTTAATTTTTAATCAACTGACACAAACCAAATATTCTTCTTTCTGATACATTTCATTGTAGACGAATTTTTGAATGTGTATTGTGTATTATATTTTTTGTAGTTTCTAAATTACATTGACAGTAAAATTATGAAAGTGGAGATTTACTCCCCCTACTAGCACATGTTTTGCTAACCCAATGGATGCATGGATATTAAAATATTTGCGATTTCGTATTAATTCAAAATAATCTAATTGAAATTAAAAACTGTACAAATGTAGAAATTCAGATTCATAAACCTATCATACTCCAAATAAATCCTCAAGTGCTGGCAGTTTATCATTGTGCTTAGTATTATTTCTGAACTTATTGATAAAATAAGAATTAAACATCGTATTAGTAAATCGGTATGAATTCTTTCACGTAAATTCACTTCACCTAGCATCTTAAGTTATACAATATTTCATTTTTATTCTTAAAAGAAAATGCTACCGCCTTACCAGTAGTAGGCTGACGTTTACTTTTCATATGTAGGATAATACTATTCAAGTAGAATTACGAAATGTACTTCTGATATTGTTTCAAATGTATTTATTTTGAGCTTCTAGATGACTTCATTTAAAGAATTCCACGAAGTTTAAAAATTCAAATGATGTTCTTTCAAGATAAAATGATAAACTGTTAGCAAAAATAATGATTTAACACTTCATGGAAATGAAAATAAGGTACTTATATATTACCGCAACTACATTAGTACATATCAACAAAACTTCAGAATATATCATACTCTGTTAACCAACCTGGACCAAAGTTAACCTAGACCAAAGAAAAATATTGCCTTTGGTTATATGTAAAACAAATAACATGTCTTTTGAGTATTTATATTTTCTTCCATAATAAGGCAAAACGTTTATTTCGTTTAATTTTATTAGAAGATTTCGGTAAGTTTTTACAGTTTATTTAATTTCATTATCCACAATTTTAACTACTCAAACGACAGCCATCATGACTGCAGTTAACTGTACGCAATACATGAAGCAAAATGTCAAAATGTATTGAATTCATTTATATTAAAATGGCATGAAAAGTTATAGAAACAAATATTCTTTAGGACTTTTGTTATTATAAAATATTTATCTCATATGCAAACTTTTAGTATTTAAAACTTATTTAATTGCTCCTTTTTGTATTATAAATAAGCTTCAATATTACACTTTGTTAAAATACTGTAGCGTACGTACAGGTTCGTAATAGATTGAATGCTCAAGTCCGATAAAAGAATAATAAAATTTTTTCTTATCGCAACAAATGTAACAAAACGCTGGAATTATCCTCAAAGATATTCTTACAATATCACAACATCATGCAATATAATCAGTAGATACATTGTAAACTACTAAAACGTTAAATAGCACGCATTCCACTGCGCAGAGAAAGCTAATCCGATAAACAACAATAGCAGCTAAGTAAAAAACAATAACTCAGTAAACAACTGAACTGACATGTTTCTCTCCGGCTTTTTACAGCTTTTTAATCGTGCACGAAAATTTTCTAGTAATTTCTGTTTTGTCGAGATTTTTGAAAAGTAAAATAGTACAATTACGAGATATCTATTTATTAAATATTAAATGCGCGTGCTCCTGCCCTTACTTTTCAGCGTAGCTTTCTCATAAAACTCTTCACGCGCTGCATTGCATGAAGAAATATTAAAATTTTAATTACAATTCTACTAAAAATAGCTAACTAAATACAAATTCCGTATCAATATTTAAGTCATAGATTGCATTCTAGATGCTTTTTTTTCAGTTTTAATTATATTATATAGGAGTGCTTTTCAAAACTTATTACATTTGATATCTTATTTAATCAAATATTCATGCAGATAATTTCCTAGACAGGAGGTGTGATATAAGGATCTGCATATAAATATATTTTCCTCAATTTCACTTGAAAAATGACATCTTGTTTTTTGCACTATTATTTACTCTTTGCGATTACTATTGGCTCAAACGGAAGGTCTTACGATTTTTTTTATAAATATAAATGAAGCAATATAAAAAGCCTAGGAAACTTTCATTGAATCACATGAGCACCATTAGAAGTGAACTTCGCGTCGATTTTGAAGTTACCCCTGTAGAGATGAAAATCTTTCAATCTTTGTAGAGACAACATTTTTCCTAATTTTTTGTCTGTTTTTTTGGAAACAGTTCATTAGAATTCACTTTTTCCTGCACAAAAAACACATACCAAAGCTCGACCAAGCATATTCCACAGTGATAAAATATGGGATAGACAAATATTGTCGAATCTTACATACGCACTCCTCTTCAAATGATCATCTACTGTATTTTCAATTTGGTATATTTGTTCTGCCTGACAGTTCGGGAACTGTGAACTTGGATTTCCAGTGACAGCTACTCTAGTATGTGCTTGTTTATCCAGAGGTTATCCAGAGGGGGCATCGTCTTCGATTCTATTATTTCCACGTTTTAACTTCTGAAACCACCCTCGAATTGTGTCATTAGAAATTGCATTTTTACTTCCTTGTACGAAGTAAAAAGAAAGTATTAATAAAGGACTCTTTTACCCTAAAATATTATAAAACTGATTTAAAATGAATTCTGAAGAGAATTTTTCGTGGCGTCTGTGCATATGTACGTACGTACGTATCTCGCATAACTCAAAAACGAGTAGCTTCAGAACGTTGAAAGTTTGTATATAAGATTGCTGTAAGATGTAGATGTACACCTCGTATTTTGGTTACCATGGGCACCACCAAATTATATATATATATATATCCACTCTCTTACTCGCATAGGTAATCTCAGTTTCTTTATTTTTAAATGTTTGTAAATTGTGAATTTTTTGCTTTAAAAGTGATTGATTTATGTTGTTCTCATCTTCCGGTTTAGGTTTTTATGCCTTTAGTAAACCTGAATACAGTATTTTTAGAATTATCAAAAGTTGTTTAAGTGACTTTAAGCCTAATTATTTTTTCCGTGGCGGACATATTTGTTTACATCTGAAACAGCAGAATAGTAGATTTGTTGCCAATCTAGAGAAAGTAACCTTCGCATTAACAAAGATAACGCCTTCTTTTATTATTGCGAATTAAATCATGCTTAATACATTCTGGAATTTAGTCGAGGAAATAAGTGTTGAAGATTTACTTCATAATTTTCAGTACACATATTTTAAGATTTTATGTATTTTTGCCTTGTCGCAAAGTAAAACTGAATTAACTGAATGAGAAATACGGAATAATCTCTGAATAACTGTTTCTTTCCTTTTGTTTTCTTTTTTTGGGGGGGTTGTTGTTTGCTTAATTTATTTTATAGATCGTTTTAGATTTATTATTGTATTTGAAATAGAGTGGCAACGATTAGGCAATTGTTAAGATGATATAAATTTTGTGCATTCTGAGTTATAAAATGTAAGACGTGTAACGCTCTTAAATGAACCTAGCGCCAGAGTATCGCTATGGTAAATAAATATAGTGAATTTTAAAGAGTGCATTTATTCTATTGTGGTTTATGCTCTATCGACGAAGTAAATTTAATTCAATCCAATAATTTTAAATCAAATGCAAGAAAAATGCGTATAATTTAATATTAGGTATAAAGAAATCATGCGGTGTACACATCAGGTTTTTTTTATTTATATAGCGCAAATTTTACAAGCAATCTAATCAGCAGATTGTCCTCTTTTTTAAGTAAACAAGTATAATATGATGAACATGAACTTTTTGGTTCATTATTCTCAGTACTGCACTGAAACGAAAATTATACCGTAACATATTATAGAATTATGTAACATGTGCATTAAAACTATATTTAAACACCCACTGCGATCAAGGTCACTACATATCAGACCCAACAAAATAATTAGAAGAACCCTTTGATCTGAAAACCCCAGAACTTTTGGGATGATCCAATATGTAATAAGAATAAGATAATTGAAGCATCTATTTATTAATACATGTAATATAAAAATTAATTTATCCCACATGTAAAAGAAATTGCCAGACTTCAGTTCCCGCGTGTAAGAAATGAGAAAACTGATTGCAATGAAATATCAGTTTTAAGTTTCCGCTTGATCAAATGACTGATAGGCAGACTGGCACATTAAAGCTTTCGTAAGCATCTTCCTATGCATCATGAAAAGGTATTTTAGACACTTTTTTGTTGTCAACTTCATTACTAAACTTCTTTATTTTGAAAAATTTTCTCTTTCTTTATTTTGGGGGGGGGGAACACCAAAAATTTGCCTTTCTTTTCAGCCCAAAGAGGCGGCAACATATAAGGGCTATTAGTCTCAAAATGGAATTTTATAGCGTTCCTTTATAAACGGCAAATAATTTTTTTAAATTGTTGCCACCAAATATTATCGCCCTATATTATATGTAAAGAAATTAAATAATGAAGAATCTCTGTAAATACATTATGCTTCTCTCATTGTGAAAAGCGACAGTACTTAGAGGCATCAAATTTTGATTAACGCAATCCTCTACCCGAACATGGGCACCTGGAAGCCGGAATTTTGAATTTGTTTTATTATCTTTTTCATATTTTGTAAAACTTTAACGAATTCTTCGTTACCAAACTCAAAGATTTCAACGCAAGCAATGACAACACTGTAGGGGTGGGAAACAATTTAATCTCCAGCGCTCGAGACTGTCTGTCGGAAATTCTATAGGTATGCTGTTTTTAAATATCTAGCGATATTGCTGTTGAATTGAATTTTATGTGGACTAAGTGAGACCATGTTATTTAATAAATAAGAGTAACGCACAAAACGTTAAAAATGTCTCTTTGGGCTAAATATAAAATTTGAAAGCTTTTGGATTTTTTAATTTTTTTTTTTTTTTAATAGAAGATTGATAACAGTTAAAGCCTTTCCATTTTCTTAAGTTCAAGGAAATTATGTTCCCAGTTTCATTAAGAATTCTTTTATCGTAAAACTAAAAATACTCTTGGCTTAATATCCATGTTATTCTAAGAAATCAATAGCCAATCAAAAAAAATGTAATATGGCTAGCGAGAATGAATGGTTATCGAATTTTAGTCCAAAGGAAGAGGAAGAACAAATCACAGAAGAAACTTCTTGATGTGTAATTGAAAAGAGAGTTTCTTATCTTGTCCCTCTTTATAAAATGCAGAAAAATCTTAGGTTAATTATATAAGAAATTCAAATTCTTAAATGACATTAGCATAATATGGAAGAGGAAGTAAACATGAAAGTTAGATTTTTGCTGCTAATATGGAGGAGATATATTTAATAAACAAATTTCTTGATCTCTCAAATATTATGTTAAATGCGGTTAATTCTAATACGCGAGAAAGCATAAAAAGATTTCACGGAACCTTTTTCTTGGAAAGAAAAAAAAATCACCTGAATTTAAATAGCAGATAGTGGTAAGTTTTAAATTAATTTCATATTTATACGTATGGTTAAATGAAAACTATAATAAACGTCTGGTGTATTACTGAGTAGTCACTATTACCAGCGAATATTTGTAGAAAATATGCAGATGTTTCTTGAAAAAAATCCTCAATTTATTGGTTAGCCCACAAAAATTGCTGCAATACATCACTACAGATAAAAAATCAGTAGTTAAGCAGAATTGATAAAATTGGTTATCTCTCGTCTAGCATGCTGCAGATAAAATCGTATGTGTCATTTAGACCTTCAACAAATTTCAAAAGAAGGGCTTGTTTGAAAATCTCCAAGTAAAGGAGGCTTTGGTTAAATCCATTACTCTCACGGACAAGACTTCAAGAAAAAGCTGGAAGAAATACGATAAGAATAAATACGGAAAAGGAACTAGTGACAAAATCAGTAGCACAGAAAATTAATGATTTTTTAATGTGTTCTGTTGAAGCTTTTTCTCTGTATTTTTTGTCTGTAGCGTATTTCTGTTTCTTTCATTAAACTGTACGAATAATTTGCAGTAAGTATTAGATTTCACTACATAGAGTGGAAAGTACTGCTTTTATTATAGATATCCTATCAAATTTAACTTTCACATTTTGCCCACGCTTTAATTCAAAGAAATTTAGATATTTCCTGTGGCAAAGCACTCAAAGCGCATTTTACTGAGCATGCCGGAAGGGAAATTTTTTGGATTTTTTTAATGGCTAGCCCAATCCGCCCACAGACGTTGCCCACTACTAAGATACCATGCCACTGTCCTTAGCCACTACTGAGGACAGAAGCGTTAGTAGCTTTATTGCGAAGGCACTTAATAGGTAGACCACCTTTGCCTTCTATGAGGGGAGAGACAAATACAACGATGCCTTCTCCGAGATTCGAACCCGGGGCCTTTGGCATTGTAGTCCACTGACCACTATACCATTTGGACGGCGCTTTTCTTGGAAATGTGTAAAGCGATTACAAGAAACTCTCTTGAAATCATGCTACACAGGGAGTAGTAACGAAAATCCTATGTAGCCTATGGATTAGTCATAAATTAAATCTTGAACGAATTACCACTGTTATGTTATGTAGAAGTGAGGGGGGGCAGCCACATAATATTTACCCTAAGTAAGCAGGTATTAGCCCCACGCACTAACTAGAAAACTAACAACATTCTGGCATCAAATTACCACTGTTCAGAACTCGGAAAGTGGTAGACTGAACACAATCTGCAAGATTAGATTATGTTATGTGCATATAAGTCTTAGATTAATTCTCATGAGTGTGTACTTACTAAACATACGTAATGATTACAATGCTTGAAAATGTAAAATGTATGGTGGATTAAATGTGGTATATCCACTCATACTTAAAATAATGCATTGTAAATAGTATTTAAAAACCTTAAACATTAAAGTAACATTTCTGTAAAAGTACTACGTATCTTAATAAAGGAAAGAGTGTTCTTTGTATTCTGATAAATAGCATTCATGTTTTGTAAACCATAGACGTTAAATATAAGAAGAATTTACTTTTCGTTTATTCACACTACCTTTATTAAAATAATTTTATCAGAATAAGATAACAATATTTGCATCCCACTATGCACTGATTTATCAATACTTGCATGGGATTATTCATACTTTTGTTTTAAACATATTTTAATCCTGCTTTACGATGAATGTGTGTATTTCACTATATAATACAAACGATTTAAAACAGTTATTAGTGCATTTCATAACACAATTTTCGTATTTTTAGCAAATATCCAGTAACTGTATGATCATATATAATAGAACCTAATGTTAAATCTGTACCCAAAACTATTTTTTTTTACTTCACTTATATATATATAAATTTCAAACGTTATTTATGATTTTTATTCTATATTTCTTCCTAATATATTAAAATATTATTTATGAAAATATTTATTTATACAAAATGTTTAATACAATACACACGTTTTTGATTGGATAATTGTATAAATGAATTAATAAAGAATAACTTTTGTGTTTTAAATTCTTATATACTGAAAATCTAAGGAATGTTTTATTTACCTCTCTGTATTCATAGTTTTCTAAACAGAATAAAAATATTGTCTTCACATTTTCACGTTTTTGAAAGATGTGACTCTTCTTTTTTGTGGCAGATCTTCCTCGACTGTCTGTAAAGCTCAATATTTTGGGAACTGTCAAGGAAGGAAGTGACGTTAGTATGACATGTGAAGTCCATTCCCATCCGCCAATTACTGAGTTAGAATGGCTGCAAGATGGACGTTCTCTAGGCCCGCCTTCTGGTGCTAGTTTTTCGAATAGGACACTCATTATTCCAAACGTTGGTCCACAACATAAAGGGGAATATCAGTGTGCAGGAACTAACAGTGAAGGCAGAGCTTTCAGTGAACCTGTTCTGCTCCAAGTTCTCTGTATGTATGCAGTGCATGATTTTAATAATTTAAATTTTGTATAAAGAGCAAATAATTATTATTATACGTAACTTAAATTTTATTAGATTTAGGTTTCACAAGATAAAGTTGCAAAAGAAATGACAGCTAAGGCTTTCATGGAGACCATCTTTTTAAGTGATCACTTTCGAAAATTACCAGTATCTTTAAGAACAAACTGAGTAACTCTGCTGAATGTTACATATAATCATATTCTCTAAGGCGTCCACCTCCCCATGAGAATAAAATTGTGTGGAAATATGGGAGGTCGTCTTAGTCAGATTGTAATCAAATAGGTATTAAACATTTTACAATTTAAGTTAATTATAAACTTATAACTTCATACACCTTTGTTTCAGTAAATAATCCTGCAAATATATCCCTGCAGCGAATACATGCATAATTGTTTCGAAATAATTGAAAGATCTATAATATATTGGTCTAATATGACAGTTGTCTTTATTAATAGAAAGTCGATTTAACAATATTAAAAATAGTATGTAAGAAGCTAATCTGACTTTCCACATGTCTAATTCATAATAAAATTGATTATTAAACCAAATTATGAAACAAAAAAGAGGAAAGTATGTATTGTGATACACAATATTTTTCGTGTTAAAATACAGATCTGTATTTTCTATTTTCGTTAATATCGTATTGTTTCTCTTCAAAATAATAATAATTTCTAAATGTTTCTGACATTTGAAAACTTTATTCTTGCTTAAAAATAATATATCTTTGCCCAGTGTTATTCTCAAAATAATTTGTTGGCATAATCTGTACAAAGTACTTTGATCACTGCAACTGACTATGGGTAAGAGGAATATATCATGGAGAAATAGAAAGGTGTTTTATGAGGCTTTCTTTATATATGTTAAGATTATCAAAATGGTGTCCGAGTTTATGCTGTACGTCCTCGCTGTAATCTTTATCATTTTCTCTTCAGCAATGTGAGATCAATTGTGAGTAAATTTCGCATGAAAACTATGCTTTTAGGTTAGTCCTAAAAGAGAAAGTCTCATGACATACGAATATATAATCTTGGAGGTCAGTTTTGGAACACTATTCACTGGTATCAACTGCGCTTTAAAAATTATCTCAAAAGTCGAAAGAATGTTCTGTTAAATTATAAGGTATCTCCTCTTTCGTTTCTGCATGCCTTCGGGGTGTAACTGGGAGCACGCTCGATGCCTATTTGAGAGGTCCAGGTTCGAGTCCCGCCCGCCGAAGCCATTTCTCATTAATCACGTCTTCCGCTAATGAAACTACAATGGCGCCCAAACTAAAAAAAAAAAAAAAAAAAGTGGAGAATAATTCGTCATCCAGGATTTAGACATTGGGTCCCGCAGTACTTTGTCGTTTTTAAAAGGGAAGGTATTGTCTGCCTCCTTTCTGCATGCCTTCGTTGTGTAACGATAGCAGACTCGGCGCGTATTCGAGTGGTCCAAGTTCTAGTCCCGGCGAATGCATTGCTTATTTTCCATGTCTCCTGCCTAAAAAAATGCTAATGACTCTACAAAATAAACATGGCAATGTATAATGTCAGTTTATGACCTTATAGAAGTCAAACATCAACCCACACTTTTAAAGGTAAAAATGACGTAAGCAACAGTGGCGCATAATTAGCGAAGATAGGTTCTTTTCTGTAGTAAACCTTTCAATAGTAAGTAGGGAATCTACATAAAATATATGACAAAGCTCCTTTCTGCCATTTACCAATGCCCCATGAAAACAAAATAACAGCAATATCAGTTAATTATTACTAGTGCTTTCCCTCTCATTTTTAATCATCTAAAATTTAAAAATTAAAAAAATTACAATTGTTCCCTAACTCAAGTGTCAAATAGTATTACAATCTTACATAATTATACAATCTTACATAATATTTGGTTTCATATTACTCTACACTGACATATAACTCAACTGATTGAAGTTCCATCAAGATACATTTGGGTAAACTATTTATAAAAATTTCACCTAGTTTAGTTTAAAAATATCCTCAAATATAATTTTAAAATAAAAAAGTAACATCTTTCTCTTAATTTCAGAATAAAAGTTCTAAGCTTTCGCACTGTGGAGTTTTGGTCAGTAGACGAGCTGACGAACCAATTGACATCATGTAATAACCGGCATGCTGACCAAGAAGTTTCATCATTCCTCTCAAAGGGATGACCTTCTCCATCTCTTTCTTTAGCCGTGGTTCAAGAATATAAAATCGATATAAGTAGGAAGTCCTAAAGAGATTTAGTTCAGACAGAATTAAAGTCATGCGAAAAAAATGTTTCGAGAATTACAGAATCTGTAACGTTGTTCGCACTCCCGAAATTCAACAATCTGCTTACTCATATATTCGAGTCCCTTACTAATTTATTCGTTTATTCAGTTAGAGCGAAACGCGTGATGATTCGATTATAATATTATTATAACAATACATGCCTAAGGAAAATAATGTCATCGAGAAGGAATTTCTAACAAAAACTGTCTCATATCCATCAACTCATATCCAACTGTCTCATATCCTAATTTGCGAAAATTGCAGTTACCCAATTCGCCGAGATTCGAATTCTTGCGTTAAATTACGAGTGCTCGGGTGTTTTCCAACTCGACACTGCTAGGCGTAATCCAGTGCAATTAAATTTCTAAATCTAAAGTCATTTGCACTCCCCTGGCTCGGATCCTGGCTACGCCCACGTGCATCATAAACATTTATTGAACGAAACGAAATGATAAAGGGAAGCCTTTGAAAAAGTAAAAAGCAAAGCCCTTATTTTATTCTTTCAGAAAAAATATGCAAATAATGACAATCATCTATTTCAATATATCTTTTTTATATATTTTACCAACTAAAATTTTACTATTTATGATAAAGCTTTGTTTCTGAATGTCTCATTTAAAAACCATGCTCTTAGCTCTTAGAAGAAGTTTAGAGAAATTGTGTCCGTGTTGATCTTGTTCATTAAAAGACTTGTCCTACATAGAGTGCTGATCTATTTAATCATTGTTCCTATAAATCAAAATCGATTCTATGTGGAAAAGAAAATTTATTTGCCTTGGTTAGAACTTTTGCATTCACGTAATGATGAATATTGTATTCAATCAAATCAAAGTGATAAAACATTATATATGTTTTAAATAATTTTTGGAAAATACGTTTATTTACATCGGATTGAACACTGAAAGCTGAATTAGGCTTTATAATATTTGACTTAGGCTTTAGAGGACGAAGCTGTACAACTGACTCAGAATTTTTTTATCACACGTATTCGTGTGTGTAAAGATTATAACATACAAAAATATTACAGCCTCATATTAGCCGTTTTTATGAGAAACTCGTGAAAACACTAATCTATCCATTATAGATCTTCTTATTAATCTATCGTAATTCTTATTAATCTATCGTAATGTAGGTTATAAGGTATTTCTCCCGCCTTCTTAGCGTGTCTTCGTGGTGTAGTGGTCTGCATGCTGTGCGCGTATTCCAGAAGTTCATGGTTCGATTTCCGGCGAAGGCGTTGCTCATTTTTCATCTTTCTCGCTTCCAATTAACCTAATGCCTTTACAATATTACTGATTTTACATGCAGTCAATGAAAGAAATAATTGAAGTCATTTTAATTATCTGAGGCTATAAATGCAATCGTTGAATGTTGCATCGTAAATACGTTGAAGATAATTATTATCATCAAATTAATGTTAGCGGACATCTGGTTGCCATTCAAAATTCCTTCATTTTAACTAAAATAAGTGAAATATCAGTCAAAAATAAAAAAAATAAAAATCTGGCATCATAGTTTATGAAACATAATTCCATAGTCTCTATTGTAAAAGAAGACAAGTTTTTATTACATTTAAGACTTCGAATGCTATATTTAGTACTAGAAGTAAGAGAGGCAATGGAGCAAAATCTGGTTTGGTGATCTTTCCACATGAAATTCTTTCCAATATTTTCCCGGAGGTTATTTGTTTCGAAATAATACCTCTTATTATACAGATGTAATCGATATATGCTATTTCATGTATTCAAACATTGCCAATGTATTATCAAACAGCAGTGATTTTAAAATCAACGTCATCAGAGAGCCACTTACTCCATTCGTCAATGATACTTCATACTGTTCGGTGCCTCTAATTAAAATAATGATAATTCCAATTTTAGCGGAACGAAAGAAAGCACATTTCTCCTAATTAAAAAGGAGGGTAAAAGGAGGAGGATAGAGTTAAGGTAAAAATTTTACATTATTATGGATGTATGCCTTTCTGAACTAACGGTATAAAAGTAAACGGCCGTATAAAAATTCTGATCTAACTGTGTTAAAATTCATGATAGGCATCAGGATTAGAATTTCAAATATCACCATCAGAAACTACGTTATACGTATTTAATACTTTTTATTTTTTTGTTTCAACTATATCTTAAGCACAAAATTCTCAAGCAAAAAGATAGTTTTGGCCCATATGGAGGTACTTTAAATCAGTTGCATACTAAAAATTTTATTATATATTTATGCTAGAATAACTTATTTTAAATTTTTTTCCAAAATGCTCCATATTTATTAAATAACCTTTACTTAAAATGATATATATGGCACGTAAATTGGTGCAATTTATGATTTTTTTAAAATCTATATCCTAAAGCACAGCACTCTGATTTTGACTTATTTAAGCTAAATATCTGGGACTCGGGATGGAGTTCGAAGTAAAATATACAACGTGTTTGAGCATGTTACTCAAATAGCTCGAACAAGAATTGGCAGCCACTTCTTAAACTGCAGCGCAAATCAGATGCAGAATTCCCCCAGCAGCGCTGCTAGGAAACAAATATCGAATAAAAAGCAGTGTAATTTGATTTCCGATTTAAATTTTCTGCCTCTTTTCGCAGAAAGCGTAACTCCGAAGCTTTATTCAGAAGTTACTTTTAAAATAGTAAATAAGAATTGAATCTAAAGTGCGGTCTATGCGTTGAGAATGGATTGCATGCTACAA